TCTACACTCTACCACTTGAGTCACAGTGCAAGAATACAGGTATGAGCCACCAGCACCCAACTTCCTTTTCTTTTCTTTGAATATAAGTTTGTTGTTATTAAGGTGTTGTAGAGAGGGGTTACCATCATTTCTCTTTTTGGACAATGTCACCCCTTCCTTTGCTTCCCTCCAGTTTCCTCATCCCTGCCCACAAATTACATAGGTCATTTCCCACATAATGTATACTAAACTGCATGATTACATTTGTTCACCCTTTCTCACTCCTTTCTGCCCCACCCCTAAAAAGACCAAAGTAAAAACAAACACTAATACCAATATCAATATCCATTTTAAAAAACCCACTGTTCCATTTCCTGGATAAATGTTCTGAGAAGTTACACCTTTGGGTTCTTCCCCTAAGGGTATCCTCCTTTTTGTGTGTGTGTGTGTGTGTGTGTGTGCCTAGCATTCTGTTTAAACTGTCTGAAACAACTGAGAGAGAGATCCTAAAGACCAACAGAGAGAGACAGCAATGAACCATTGGCAACTAAAACTTTTCTAGTATTTTCTCCTATGAAGCAATTTGCACTGCCTTCTTGTCAATGTAAAAACACATTCCCTTTTGCTCAGAGACTCCCAGAAAGCAACAGGAGGCAGTTTTCTGCAATCATAAACATGTTATATAAGAATGTGTGATTTAGGCCCTTGCAGGGCCCAGGTGCTTCTATGCTATTTGAGTTGCTGCTCTCATAGTCTAGGCTCAGGGAGGAAATGAAGTTTGAATTTCCAAGTTTCCACTCACATTCCTTACCCCAAGGGGTCAATGCTTCAAGTTGCTCTGACTGAAATATACTGTGCTGCTATGATTACAACTGTGAACAGCTCGCACTTACTGAGCACTGACACTAGTGAAAGGATACCAAGCAGAGGCAGGCAGGCACAGGAGAAAGATTATTATAAGGTTTATTAGAGGAGCCATATTTCCCCCGGAGAGAGAACACATGGCGACCTCCACTATCTAGGTAGCATAGTAGATGGGAGCTCAGGCGGGTCTGGGCGGAGAGAGGTAGGGGCCAGTTGTATGGCTAAACTGTAGGGCAGGGAGGAGCTCAAGTCTGGGTGGAGCTGAGGACCAAAGGTGGGCATAATGCTTACACCTAGGACCTTGGTAGTGAGTGAAGTCCTTCTTGTTCTTCTCCTCCTGCCCTGTGGTGGTGGCATCACCTCTGGGCACTGGGAAAGACAGAGTTCAAGGGCTAAGCAACTTGACCAGCTACCACTGTCAGGCCCCTTTGTCTCCCAAGGCTATAAGGAAAAATACAATCATGTGCTGTGTGGAAAATGAGTAAAACGCTGGAAGAAAACAAAATAAAGGGTGGGAAGGTGGCTTAGTGGTAGAGTGCTTGCCTTGCATGCATGAGGCCCTGGGTTGGATTCCTCAGCACCACATAAGCAGAAGAAGTTGGAAGTGCTGTGGCTCATGTGGTAGAGTGCTAGCCTTGAGCTGAAGAGCTGAGGGATAGAGCCCAGGCCCAGAGTTCAGGCCCACAACCAACAAAAAAAAGAAAACAAAGAAAAAAAATAGTTGGATGCTTGCCTGTTAGGAATTAGTAGAAAAGGGCTGGGAAGGTGGCTCAGTGGTACAGCCCTTGCCTTGCATGCCTGAGGCCCTGGGTTCGATTCCTCAGC